TTACAAATTTCAATCTTTTCGTAACCAACCGCTTATCTTCTCTAATTCGCGGTGCAATAAATGTTTGTAGTTGAATTTTTTCATAATTTTTGGCAAAGAGGCTTTTTTCAGGCGGCACAGCGAGATGTCACAAGTGCCGAGAAGGCTGTCCTAGCTTTGGAAAGTGCAGTCAGTAGGAAGCATGCGGATAGGCATGGTCTGCTCAAATCGGCGAAAATCAATCAAATTCAAATTCCTCTTGTCACTGGCAGTCTGGCGGATGTTGATGCTGAGGAAGATGAAGGTTTGTTCCTCCATTTTTTCGTGACTAGAGATTTTTTTTTGTATAGTCGTGATCACCAGTTGTAGTTGATTCCAGAAATGGATGGTTCCCAGCCGTCGAATTCCAACAATCTATCTCAAGAGCAGATCGAAAGGGAGTCAAAGATCAAGCTCAACTATCGCCAATTACCGGAAAATCTCAAGGATGTGGGACTGTTACGTCTTTATTTCTTATTTATTTATAAAGTTGTGTAATCTGCACGATTTAGCTCAAAGATGAAGAGGAAGTAAAGAAACATGTGGAGAGAATGAACAAGGAAATAAGTGAAGCTCAGGCAACTTTATCACGATTAAATGCCCCAAATCTGAAAGCTAGTCAAAGGTAAAACATTATAACGACTTGCTCTTGCTTTTCTTTTTCCAATAGCGACTATTTAGGATGGAAGAAGTGAAAGAGCGGGAAGCGGAAACTACCGAAGAATGTGAAATGGCGCGAAAGAAGGCACGAAAAATTCGTGGTTACTTCGAAAAAGTGAAAACGGAGCGTTATCGCAAATTTCAAGAATGCTTCGAGCCCGTCAGCCAGAAAATAGATGAGATATACAAGGTGAATTTTTACTTCTGGTAGCGTTCTCTCTAAACTATAATTTTTCAGGCCCTTTCGCGAAATGCTAGTGCTCAAGCATTTTTAGGAGCTGATAACATGGAAGAACCCTACTTGGAGGGTATTCAGGTTGGTGAAGAATCACTCGTCCTTTTTTTATTGTTTTTAATCTTTTGCATGCTTTCAGTACAATTGTGTTGCCCCTGGAAAGCGATTTCGACCTATGGATAACCTTTCTGGTGGTGAGAAGACAGTAGCAGCATTAGCTTTGCTTTTTGCCATGCATGCACGCAACCCATCACCATTTTTCGTTTTGGATGAGATCGATGCTGCACTTGATAATACAAATATTGGAAAGGTTTGTTTCCGGAATTATACGATACTGCTGATTATATCCCGCTTCATTTCTAGGTATCGTCGTATATCTGTGACACAGCTCGAAGTGATATGCAGATCATAATCATCTCTTTGAAGGAGGAGTTCTATAATAAGGTACGTATGTTTGAATTCTAGAGGCTACCAAGACATAGTTTGAAACCGTAAAATCTTACCCCAATTTTTTGAACGAGTTGCACAGCCGCTTCGCTGGTATTTCCGAAAACAAAATTTATGCCGTACTATACTCTCAAGCAATATGCAGCATTGTATAGGGTTCCTTTGGTAGCGAAAAAGATATGAAATGTTTTGGTAGTCGATTTCAGCATAAAAATCTTCCGCGCCTTCTACGCTTGAAATAGGGTAATAATAGTATAAATATTAGGTTTAGTGGTTATGAGGTAAAGGCTACTGTCGGGCGAATGCGCAAAAGCAATATTTGAGCGGGCGCATACGCGGCGCGTGTGTATCTTCATCTTTGTAAACCCTGCGCCTTATGCGCTCTGCGGCTGATAAACCGCGGTGGCATCTCTGAGTTTTGCGCCTTTGTCTGGCAGTAGACTCCAACAGATTTGG